GAATCCAGAAGATTGCAAAATCTAGGTAGCCTTGACCCTGCAAATGGTTTAATTTCTATATGATCTCTGTAAAAATTTTGAAATTATAATTTAATGAAAAGGTAAAATTCTATTCTAACCCCCAAAGTTTATGATTAATTTCTAGCCCTTAACATTGACTTCTGTATGTCTGCAATGAACGTAGATGGTGGACAGTGGATGTACACCTTGGTCACGTGTTAGGTGAATATTGTGCTAGAAAATCAGGCACCACGTTGCTTGCTAGCTGTGTCTGTGCCACAAATTGCCCAACTATGAAAAAGAAGGGGTAAAATAACATTTTTAGTCTCCCATGTTTACAATTCTTCTCATTTTGACCCTTAATCATTAAAAATAAAAAATATCAGTAATTGAACAATACATTTTTTAATCATTTACAGTAACGTTTTTAAGGGTCAACTTAAAAAAATGTAAACACATAGAGCTAAAATATATTTTATCTTTTTATGATTATCAAATCAATAATTAACGATAAAATTTGAGTGAGATCAAGATTTTTAAATAAAAATATATATACCATTTGATTGGAAGTTGCTTTCTAAGGAATAGAATACAAAATTAGAAATTACTTTCTAAGAAATATAAATCAAAACTAAAATCTATTTTCACTAGTAATTTTACAAAATTTTAATTTCTTTTAAGAAATTACATTTTATTATAGAACTCAAAATTAAAACCCATTCCCATCTATGAACAAAAAGCAAAATAACTTTTATAGTATTCATGTTTAAAATTGCGGGAGTAATTTTATATTGAAACCTTTTTATTTATCTCATTGCTAATAAACATAAAATATGTGCGGAGGAGGCCCAAACCGATAAATCAACTGTAGTAAAGAAGACCCAGAAACAGAAATGCAAAACGGAGGTTGCAGAATTTATTTAAATGATTAAAGAAAATATTTTTTTAAAAAAAATTGTGGATTTAAATTATGACGTTTGTAGTAAAATAAAATGTTATTCTGTCTAAAAATTTTAATAATAAAAATAAAGATTATTCTTTAGATGTTAAATTTAAACAATTATGTCTATAATATATATTCGACACTATAAAGTCCTGTATCGTTAAAAGGCCATGGACCCTGTCTGCCATGTCCGTCTACGAAGAAGGAATTGAATTTTTTAAACAAAGATAAAAATTTTGGGTAGTGAGTAATTTAAGTAATTTTCTCACTATTTTTTTATTTAATTTTATATTATATTATATTATATGTGATTAAATTTATAAAATAATTAAAATAAAAGGATAAAACTATTTCAAATAATATTTATTATTGATAATTTTGTTTAGCTTAAAATAAATGATAATGACATTTTCACTTATATTTACAAACAGTTGCCAATATTATATTATAGTCTATTGACAATATTAAATTTAAACATAATATTGATGTTTCAAAATTTTATATTATCAAACTTATAAAATGGTTTCATGATAAAAGTGAATAATATTTTCTTTAAAGATTTTGTGTTCGGACAGTTTCGTCTACAGGGTACGTTATCATTTAATTAAGAAAATTTTAAACATATGTTATACTGTAATTACTTCATACTATTAAAATATCTTATATTATCAAATAAGATGCATCTAGAAATTTGTTATTTTTTTAAGATTTTGATATAATTAAAAGATAGTATTTATTTTTAAATTCTAAATATAAATAAATACACATTTACAAATAAAATGATTCAAAATTAAATCATTTAACGGAAATGATATTAGGACCACTGTTTGAAGTGGAAGCTGATATGAAAGCCTTCCAAACAAGTAAAAAGCCTTGAACCAGCTCATAAAAGATCCAGCCAACCGGCCTTGCGAAATAGCCGCTCCCATTCTAGTCGGCCTACCGATGAGGGCACAAGTCAACGTCATTCCACCTTTATTGAAACGTGTACTTATACGATTCCTCCGGCCGTCCTCCATAATATATCCCCCCAAGCAGTTTCTTCTTCCACAAATCTCCACTCATCTTCAATAATAATTACAGAACCTACCCCTCATTCACCACTAGGAGATTTATTCTTCGGTTTAAATCGATTTAATTAATCAAACCTAATCAATTCGGCTAAACGGTCATTCATCAAAATTATTTTTTGGTATAAAAAGAATACACGGTACAAATTAAGTGCTCAATTATTCGTCTATAAAGGACAGGCACAAGAGAGAGTAACAGGAATCATTCTAAGTAAATAGGTTCACCATTCATCAACATTTGTTTAGCCAGAGAATTATTATTCAAAAACTGATTTGTTGATGGAATTATTTAAAATTATTAAATATTAAATATATTTTATATATTTTTTAAAACTTAAGTCCACTAAATTTTAACACATAATAGTGTATCCAACCCTAAATAAAAAAAAACATAAACCACAATTTATCCTTAAAAAAATATGGTAAGTATATGAATGATCTCTAATTGTAGGGTTTGTTCTGTTAAGTATTTTGACTATTAAAATTTATAAAATAATCATTCGACTATTTATTATATTCTAAAATTGTCATTTTATGTTAAAAAATAAATAGTCGTCTGAGTTGAACGTTAACATGTTGATTGAGATATGATAGTCGTATGAGATTATGATATCAAATTTTATCATATTTCAAGTAGCATATTAACGTCCAACTCAGACTATCATCATTTTTTTAAATGAGTCAGAGACATATAAATAGTCGAGTGATCATTTTATAGTAACTTTTAATAGTCGATGACTCCAATAAAGTAACGTCATATAATCAAAATAAAATTTCATACTTTTTAATAATATGATGACTCAATAAGATAACACCTTATAATCAGAGAATAATTTATACCTTTTAATAGTCGTAAGACTATATAAAACATCACCCTATCATTAAATGACTATTTGTATATTTTACCCTGCAAGATATCCATATATTATAATTATAACGAATTGAAAGCAATTCTAAAAATTATTTAATTAATTAAATTTTACTTAATTTAATTAGTATTTTTTTTAAAAGAATTCAATTATCGACTGAAATAACTATTCCAATAGTCCACTCACCTCTGGCCTTATTGATTTTAAAGTGGTTCACCCGTTTACTTTACCTTCCCAATACGTGGCTTATATCACTATTACCAAACGTCAACGATTTCGACACGTGCTGGTGTCACAAAGAGCCCAGCCGTTGGATATTTTTGGGATCTCCTTTTCTTTTTTGTAATATTTTGAAAGAAAAAAATACGTGGGCGCTTTCCTTTTTAAACTTTGACGGACTTCATAATGATTACATGCCACGGCCTAGTTTTCTTATATTTTATAAAGTAAAACGGAGTCGTTTAACTTAGTTAATTATAAATACGTTTGCACAATTATATATATTGTTTGGTCAATGCAATTCAAATGATCCCTACAAGATAATTCCTTATAACAATCGTTTAGAACCAAGAAGAAGTCTTAACGATAAGAACAATATTATTTTCTCTAGATAATTCTATTTGAATAGTTTTATCTGTATATTTATAAATTTACTTTTATTTAAAATTGAATATATTAAAAAATCATATGGATTGTTTACAAATTATATTTATTGTTTGTTATTTTATAGTTAAAAATATATAAAATTAACTTAACGTATTTAAATGTGAACTAATTTAAATTTGATACAATAATTAATATAGGCATTTAATTATACCAACAACAAATTAAAAATTGCAGACAAAATAGAAACCTTGACCAGTGGCAGATCTTATGCGTATTTGTAAATAAAGTAAAATATAGGGTTAGTTGTACAACCGGATGTTTGGAACCCACGTAATGGGTCAGAAACCACAGCCCTGATAAACCGAGATTTCCGCCCAAAATACCACTTTCCACGCGCCTCGATGACCGTGATTACTACACCCTCAGATAGTAATTATTTTTCATGAATGATTTGTTAATATTTGTTTTTAATTAAACATCGTTTTCTATTTATTAATTTCATCAAGGGTTTCTCTTTTTAAACAAATATTTTTTTATTAAGTCAAAAGCGATTACAAATATTTCTTTTACTTGGTAGGATTTCATTTTAAATTTCATTTTTATTTTAAAAATGAATATCAAACTAAGAACATATTAAAATAAAATTAATTTAATGATTTAAAATTTTTCTACACTCTTTTTTAAATAACTAAAATATAATAATAATGAATATAAATACAAATAAATGATAGATATAAATAATTTAATAAAAAAATAAATATTAAATTAAAATGATATTGAAACTACATTATTTATTAAAATTACACACTTTTAACAAGGATGTATTATTTGAGAAACACTTTTCAGAAAACAGATTTTATAAAAATTGGTTTTACTGATGTGATATATTTTTCAATCGATTCATATTGACTATCCAAAAATAAAATAAATAAAATGAGAATTGTGAGTCAAAATTTTAAAAATTATACGAAATTTATTGAAAAAATGTTACACATATTTGTTCTAATAAAATTCATATATATATTTAAAATTTTAGCTCATTTATTATTATTTTATCCATTTTGTTATTAGATGACATTAACAAAATCACTAAAAAACTATTATATAATAAAGATATATACTATAAAATATTTCTTTTAAAAAAAATCACTTAAAATATCTTTATTATAAAATTATCATTTTAATAAATAAATAAAATTATATATTATATTCATAAATTAGCTAATTAACTATGAGACATTAACGATTATATCAAATAAAATTGAGAAAGAAATACAGGGCGAGTGGGGTTGGAAACCGTCACAGGGGCGTGTGATAAGCGGCCACGCGGTCAAATTACTTTAGCTCCACTTTATAACACCTCGTTCTTTTCCAACCCTAACTCATTTCTACGACTCTCTCTTTCTTTCTAAAGCCTCATAGTTTTTCTCTACTTTTCCACCTCTTTGATTTCTCTCTGAAAGTTCGTCTGAAGAATTTTTTTTTAATTTGTAGATTCCTTTCTGTATTGCCATGAGTGTTGCTGTTCTAAAGCCAGAAGATTGTTTAAAGCTTCCTAATACCATGAAACACCTAAGAAATTCTCGCCCTAACCCTAACCGGACGAACGGGAGGAAGCGTTCTACCAAAACCTCTTCTCCACCTAGTACCACTGTCGCCCCCCTGAAGGCTCCGGCCATGAATCTCGTGATGGGTCAAGTCAAGATACTCAAACGCGGTGAAGATCTTAAAGAATCTAAGCCGGATAAGCCTATGAAGCTCGAAAACGAAAACGTAGATGTAGATCTGCGTTCCACTAACTCTTTGGGTAGAGATCCCGTGTCAGATCCGACCCAGATCCGACCCAGCGTGTCCGTAAATGACAGCAATAAGGTTCTTCCGTTCTCGTTCTATGCCGGATCGGCCTTTGTAACATCGCCGCCTCCGAGTTCGGTCCCGTTGCCGGCGTTTTTCACAAAGAAGATTGGTGTTGCTTTGAAAGATGATGTTGCTACGAGTGTCTTGAGGAGGATGCTAAGGCTGGAGTTGTAGGGATTGCTGATCTCTTTGTTTGGGTTCTCGAATCTTCAATCCTCCCTTATTTTTTCAAGGGGAAAGATCGAAAAATAGCTAACTCAAGCAAGTAGGTTTAGTTGATATCTAATCCAAGATTCTGTCGTATAGCTTAGCAATTGTTTGCTTCGATATGCATATATCACCTTGTTTTTTAGCGTTGTTTAATTTCGTTTTTACGGTGTATGGTAAGGTAGATTTCTGTGTTTGTATTTAAACTAGGTTCAGCGTGTTGAAAATGGTATATTAGCTTTGAATTTCATCAATAAAATCCCAGTGTTTTGTTTGTGTTAAATCCTCGTCTTGGGTTTTTAATGTCATAGAAGCCAGGAAATGACAGATTCCAGAAATGAAATATTAAGAAAATAGTCTTAAGCTTGCCAGCTTGGGCAGGAAGAAAGTTAAAGCTCTGGGAGACCTTGGAAATGGAAATGCTTTCGAGGAAGCCCAGCCTTATTTTCATAGATTATGTTCTGTTTAGATACGTTAATTCTAATTTTTAAAATTTAGTTTTAGTTTAGGATTTATTTTAATATTTTATAATAAAAAGTTGTTTCAATAGTTTGTAAATAAAAATTTAATTGAGTTGCGTGTATAGCATCATATCATCATCAAAAAAAATATCAATGTATATCATCATTAAAAATATCATTAAGAAATTTAGTGAGTTTTTTAACTTTATTTTATTTAATATATCCGATCTTATTATAAAATAATATATATATGATCTTATTAGAAAATAAAAGTTTTATTGTTGCTCAATTGACATCTTTTGCATTGTTGCCTTTTGTTTTAAATCGTATCCATCTATCTTTTAAAATTTTATTTAACTGACAAATTGTTAATTGTTCAATTACTTATATGATGTGGCAACTCACAACGTTAATGTAGTAGCTTTTGTCCCTTTAAAACTTAATTTAATTATTGAATTTTTCACTTATATACATATATTTTTTTAAAAAAATTAAATAGTGAGAGTGATTATAATATTATGTATATTAAAATATTTTATCAATTTATTAATAGTATACACATCTGCTAAATATAATTGTTAATTTTTAAGGAAAACAACATTTTACTCTCATTTATATCTTTTTATAAATAAGAAAAGTATTATAATTTCAAAATAAATATAGAGATTTCTCAGAAAAACTCAAAATGACACAATGTAAATATCGTTGATTATCAATTAATTAATAATTTTTCTTCTTCATTTATATTAATTACAATTTATAAATATATATCATATTTTAATATATGTATTTCTTAATACTTATATTTAGCTTCAATATTTTTTTTGTTGGACTAATGTTGATACCTTTATGCGTGCTTATCCTTTTTCTTATTACGGTGTGCGATGTTATGTTGTGCAGTGTAAATAAAAATTTTTTGCGTCACAAGAGATGCCCTACGTGAACAAGAATATTAAAAATCATGATGTTTTCATGTCCTCTTCTTCCCTTAAGATTCCATTTCTTGTCTACATTATTCATTACATCACCTTCACTTACCATAGTTTGTGTGCAGAGATGGATCACAACAATTGTCTTTTCAAAATTTTAAATTTTTTATTCTTTTTATATTTTCCATTAAAAATATAATTTGACTCTCTTTAAAATTGTACAAATTAGACTCTTCTTAAATATTATATTCACACACACTAACATAAATTCTACCTGTTTGTTTCTGTGTTTTAAGAAGACCTTCGGTTCAGATGAAGCTTTTCCAAATCCCCAAGTCCCTTATTACAGTCACTTTTCAATTTGATCCAATTAACTTTTTTTAACAATTTATCGATTAAATCTTAAACTAAATAATTAAAATATTTTATCATTATATTTTTAAAAACAATGCTAAATTAGTTTCAGCTTACTTCTTTTAATTCTTAAATTCCGCGTTTAACTAAAAAGATTAAAGATAAACTACATCCAATATCACTTAATTATAAATTTAATAACAAACATGTTAATTTTCTTTTAAAATTTGAACATTCAATTATAATAATGTTACAATCAGGTCATTCCGTCATTAAAATTGATCCCATGTTTTAAAATTTTATTAATTTAATCTTTTTTTATACTATCAAAGCAAGTGAACCAATCGGATCAAAGCAATAGTTGGATAATTGTATTATGTCATAAAACAAAATAAGTTATTGTTAAACTATTATTATACCAAAAAAGTAATATATCATTTATGAGAGAATAATAAGTAATTTAGGAGAATAACAAAAACTATTATTGGTAAATTGATTGTTTTAATTAGGACCAAATGTATAAATTTTAAGAAGTAAAAATATTTTTATACCAAACCATGTTCCTATTTCCGTCTAATATTTAGTGACTAGTGATCCGTTTATAAAATATTTTAATTGAATGACATATATGTAACTTTTAGAAGAAAAAAATGAACTATTTGTTACAAAATCTATTATTAAATGACTTTGTACGTAGTTAACCCATATATTAATGGAAACGGGAGGCTATTAAAAATGAATGAATGGGCGGTCATTAAAAAGCCCAAAAATTACGATTCAAATCTCACACTGCCGCATGGCATCCGTCTGATTTGTCATTTATTAATCATCAAATGCATCTCACGTACTTCGATTATAAATTAAATTTAAAATTAATTACTATTTTTTACGTTTGACTAAATTTTTAAACTTTTAACTTAATCTCCTGTCGCAGTATTAAATTATCAACTTGAATCCGACTTATATTTTAATCAATAGCATAACAACTCCCAAACTTTGAGGCAAATTGTACCACATGTTTAATTGCATAGGTGCATTAACCCAAAAGATAAAAAGGTATATATATATATACATACATATATCAATCATGATGTTAGAAAATGTTCTTAACGTTTGATCTCTATTTTACAGAGTCCAACATTTAATTTTATGGTAAAAAATCATAATGTTGATTAGATAATTATTTTCTTTATATTTTTAATAATATTTTAATCTTTAAGTTTCTCTTTAGAGAAAAAAATATTTATCTTTTAGTGTATTAATTATTTGTTAATTAATGATTTTATCTATGATAGACTTTTTATCACCAAATGAAATATCGAGTGCCAAAATATTTCAAAAAAAAAGGTTAATTGACTATTTAGTCAATTATTAAGAGTATTTTTTCACATTATGCCTATATAGAGTATAATACTTATTTTTTTACTTTGGGTTCGAGATACTACCTTTACATGGTGTGTGTGTTATTATCAATGGTTAAGAGAATTTCTGAACATATACTATATTGTAAATAGTTGTAATCCCTTAAACTGTTTGAGCTATATTTTGTGGATAAACTATTCGTTTACAATATGTCGTCTAATTAATGCTTGAAATATTATGTCGTTGAGTTAGTGCTTAAAAGCAACATTGATGCTAACATCATTAAAATACGATTTTATTATATCACATTCAATAAGTTAACATCTAGCTCAAACGATTATCATTTTTTAACAGAAAAAAATAAATTTAAAACATATAAATAATTGGAAGACTAAAAAAGACAACATCCTATAGTCAGAGAGTTATTTATGTACTTTGTCCTGAAGAATATTAGTTGAATAACTAAAATAGAGATTAATTAATAAATGAGAGATCAAATATGTATATAGTTCACCAAAATATTTATTATATTTACGAAAGGAGAAACCAAATCGAATAAGCTGGAATCAATCTACAAACAAAACTTTCGATTTTTTAATTTTAATTTTGTATTTATAGAAAAAGCCACCAAAAATCGAGCAAAAAAGAACAAAGCCAGAGCGCCCTTCCCTATATAACATTTCTAACTTTCTTTTCTTTTGTTTTCTCTTTTGCCTCATTCTTTCTCTGCCACCCTTCCCCTCTCTCTTCCCAACACCATATATAATTATTTTCTTCAAATCTGTAGTTTCATCAATATCTGGGTTTCTCTTTCTCTCCTCTGTTTTTTTCTTTTGCTTTTCGTTGGCTGGTAGTTGTTATAACGATGATGGTGAAAGATGAGTGGGTTCAGGCGGCCATCAATGACGACAACGTGGTGGTTGAGTTATTGGTAAGGCTCAAGCAAGCCCAGGCGGCACCATCGGCTCCTAAATCTGCCTTGCCTGCACTTAAGTGGGGGATTCGTCACCGGAGGTCTAGACCCATGTTGTTACGCTGCTACGCCAAGAGAGACGGAGGTAGTCCCACCACGCCCTTTGTTGGAGTGGTGGTAGCAGCGACGCCTCTACTTCCGCCGCCGACGTCTTTGAAGAGACCGGTACTCATCTCCTCCTCTCACCTCCTATCGCGCCTTCCAGATCCAAGGTTTTCTTCTCACTCTCCCTCTGGTGGCTAAATCTTTACCATTGTTTTGGATTTGGCTTTGCCTTTTGGACTTCCGGTTTTGATTTGAAATGATCATCAAACCCTTTTGATCTTATTTACGCCGTAATTCATCGTTACCCAGCCAACTCACCGAGTTCATCAGATCTGCCTTTCTTTTACGTTTCTCTTCGTCTTCGAACTTTCAGGCTGGATTCAATCTTTCCGATCATCATCGGGTTAACAGTCTTTGAAACTTTAAAATTATGAACTAGATGTCCTCAAATTATCTAGTCATTTCAAATTGGTCCCTAAATTTTAAAACTTCATTATCAGTCCTTAAATTATGGTCCTGTTCTAAATTAGTCCCTAAATTTAAAATGTTTTATACCAGTCGTCAAAATATCAGTATCATTCCATTTTAAAGCTTCGAAAGTTATAAAATTGATGGACTAATTTAAAATATGATCATAATTGAGGGCATCATTTGCAATTAACTCTAATAATAATAACAACATATAAAAGGCCGTGTCATTTCACCCCTACTGTTTGGACCAAAAAGCCCTTGTTTTGAAGGTTTTCACCATTTTCTCACGACGACGGTTTTTTCTTCATTTCACGATTTTGTTCTTATCTCGTTTTAAACCGGTTATGTAAGTCACGTGCATGATATGCCACTGATCTATCAAATTCAGGGCTTAGATCAGATTCATCACGTGTTGTTGGTATTACGTGGCGTGTTATTATTGGCTTTTGTCATTGTCCAATCACTTAATTCTATGGCCCTTCGCCCCCATTGATTCTGCCACCTGTCCTAAAGGTTGCATGTTTCTCGTTGTATCTGATCTTGGTAGTGTCGTCTGATTTTCTCTTCTTCTTTTTTTAATAATTCAAAATATAAGCTCTTAATTCATTTTTATTAGAGGAGTTGACTAACATTATGCCTAATGATCAAGGATTTACTCGAATTCGGGTTATCCGATTGTTTGAGCTCAACTCGATAACGATTGAATCGAATTTCGAGTGTTTTTAACCCGAACTTGAAAAGCTTCAGTGAATTGTTTACAAGCATACAGGATAGGACTCTTGCAAATTTCAAATGATATATTTTAGATTTTTTATATATATTTTCTATTGGCTCCTTATAAATTTTAGAAGTTACACTCTCAAAATCTTAGAAATTGTAGTCCCTAATCTAAAATCTACGTCGGTTCTGCAAGCATGTATTAAGTTTTGGGCAATTTGGAAAATGTCAATGCATACTTAATTTATTGATTAATGGTGGGTTTTCCCGGTTTTGCAGGGCAGTTCTTCTAGTGAAACTTACAGAACAAGTACCAAGTGCTCAAGAAGAAATAAGGTAAACAAATGAGTTGAATATTTTCCCGGGAAAATAAACGTTGTTTTATGATGATTGGTGTAGAACAATTTATTGTCATTTTCCAGACATTTGCTGGACTGGAGGAGGAGGATAATCTTCTTTTGAAGGAAAGGGTTCGTTTAGAAAAGGTTTGTGTTTTGTGGATCTTCTTCAATCCGATCATCATGTATTCTCTCCACTGCAATTCATTAATCTTACCGTCATCTTCTCTATTCATTCAACAGGAGATAGCATCGACGCGTGCAACTCGTAAAGAGCATCGAGCCGAACGAGAGCTCGAAAAGAATCAGGGTTAGTGGGAAGTATATGGTTTTTCGTGTCGATAGATGTTTCTTATTTTCGTCCTCGTTTTTACGTGAACTTCACTTGTATTGCAGCTTGGTTTGAACTCGAGTTTAACTGACGATGAACCTGAGATGGCACCTTGTCCGAGAGCACCGTCTTCTTTGGACTCGACCTTCGATGACAACGATGATCGTGAACGAGTGTTAGATTCTCACAATGTAGGGAAGAGTATTTTCGTACTGCCTGATTTAAATATGATGCCTGGTGAGGAAGATTCTGGTCCTGAAAATTAGTGACAGTGAGCAAGGCAAGTAACAAGATTGAAACTCGACGAGGGTCGGTAGGTTTCCGAAATTCGATCCCCTCATCGTCTCGTTTCAAAATTTATGTAAGACCGGGTTAAACTAATTTCATAATTTTGGCCAATGAAATTCTTTAGATTATTTCTTACAGCTTGCGCGCTTGTTCTAATGGTCTGCTTATTTTCCATCTATACAATTAGGCAATTTTAATCAGTATTTTAAATGTGAATATTGTACATGCAAGATATGTAATATTTTATGTAATCGGGATAAACTTTTGAAATTTTAAAAGAACGATGAATTTATAAAATTTTAAGTGGGATGAAAGCATATTATTAGTATAAAATACAAAATAAATTTAAATTTTTTAAAAGGATTAAAACTCTCAATGGTTCCTTTTTCGATCCATCTTATTTACATGTGGATAATGATGAGTAATGTGTTATAAGGAGAATAAATAATAGATAAAATCTCTAAACATGTGCGGGGAGATTTGACTCGTTAATCAGTCTTGGCAAACTCAAAATTCCGTGACAAACGATGTGGGATCATCTATGACGTCGACCAGAAGCAAAACTTTAAAATGTAAGCTTATGATCGGAACAACTGTAGCATTTGGTTACTACACCTAACTTCTTAAAATAGTGTACTTGATTATTTAAAAATACATTTTATGAAATTATTTTTAAGATTAATTTATTAAATTCAAACTATAAAATATAAGTAGCTGGGGATTTTCTTTATAGATAATTTATTTTCTTTACTTACTGTTAAAAAGAAGAAAAATCCTTATAAAATACGGTAAAAATACATAATAGTCCCTTAATTATATAGATTCTTTATTGAGATTTTTAATTATGAAAAATTATAAAATAATTGTTTAATTTTAAATCCGTAAAAAGGATAATAGCAAATGATGCACTGTTAATAAAATAATCACCTAATTACAAAATTACAAAATTGATCTTTTAATTATATAAAACCATAAAAAGTCGGTCAATTTAAAAAGTAAATTAATCTTAAAAGTATGATGATAAATGATATACTATTAATAAAATTGAAATAATAAAAAATTAACCCTCAACTTATAGATATCATAATTTAATCATAATTATATATAAAAAATAATCCTCAAAATTTCAAAATTAAACTAATTTATTTTATGGACAATGAACACACATCATGTATACACAATTATTCAAATTTGAATCTTTTAAAATAAAACAACACTCTTTTTATCACTAAAGTTGCTCAATAGTTCAATATAACCGTATGAAGATTTTATATTAAGATTTAAGAGAAAAAAAAAGTTAGGAAGATAACCTAAACAGGGTGGTCCATGGCATGAGAATAAAGCTGCGAGTTAGCTTGTACATAAGGTGTTGTACATGCTCCAATTCATTTCGTACAATCACGTGGCGTCGGATTTTCTCTTTTCCGACATGGATTCATTTTTTATAGTTCTTTTATTGGGAAAAGAAACAAAAACTAAATTAAACCCAGAACCAAAGAAAAGAGAAAATAGAGATGCAATTCAATAAAATTAAACCCAGACTTGATACAATCAACTTGGTCTTGTGGTATGAAATGCTAGTTCCCTTGAGAAGGTCAAGAGTTTGAATCTGAAAGTTATGAATCGAACAAACTAAACTGAAAGAATCACCTTACGATGAACCTCTAAAGTATTCAATTCGGATTAGACGATCAATATTAACATATTACCGGCTTAAGTAATGTTCACCCAAATACGTAAGGTTACCCCAGTAATATTAGACTCTGGAACCAAATGGCCCCTAGATGTAAAGGCTACAGCACTAACTCTCAAGTATGCTAGACTGGATGTTTTAAATTTTCTTCAACGAGTTCAAGACACCGGTACAAAACCAACTCAACTGGGTTCAGAGCACATACAGTGTCGACTGCAAGTTGACCATGATCATTCTTATTTGCTGCCTCCATGCTGCTCACAAGTACTCGAAGAGGTAGGAGCCATTCGTTATGGGCCTTCTTCAAATTGTTCTTGGACCGCACTCCCGTGTAATTGGTTTCCCCTGTTCGATTTCCCAAACAGTCAAATGTAATTCGAGATCTATTAGAATAGCATTAATCATAACAGGCTAACGGGTATCAGATTTCATTGTTTAAAAATAATATAGCATGCTAATGTAGTTTGCTGATAGATGGATAAAGCTGCAATTATTGAATGTACAGTAACTATCCAAAAATCAAACTGCAGGGCCACTACTCAAATGCCTATACAGAGGCTAAGCTTCGTAGAATACATTACCTTCGAGTCGCTATGTTAACACAAAGACAAGTAAGCCGTACATTGCAACAAGATCATCAAAACTCATATATTCTCATCTTAAATAAAACAGTAAACCATGCTTTACCTGCTGATTCGGTCATCAATACATATCTGTACAGGTTAAGGGCAGATAGAACCTGAAGAGCATCATAAGAATCTGTTAAACTGAGAATGTCAATTAAGATAACAACACAAGTACCATCAAATGTGTTATGCAGTATAAGTCGAATAATTGAAGCATCGACAGGCAAAGGATGCAATAAAATACCGCGTCACTATTGTCTGGAAGGATAGGAGGTCCTCCCGACACAGGCCTCAAAACTGACTCGACCAACTCAAGGATGCTTGTACACCAAAATAAAGTTTTTTGAATGGATTTATTGTCAACATCTAAGGCTTCATCTTTACATATCGACATTCTCAGGGTACGTTCTCTGTGCATTTCCCCTCTAACAAGATCAAGAAGAATTGCAACCTACACAGAATTTGAGGAACTGCTTTGGTTAATATATCCTCAACTAGAATTACATCAAATAATAGAGCAAGTACACTGGGTTTTACCATAGAGGAAGAGTCACTATTTTTAATTAGAGCTTTTAAAATGTCGTATCTCTGAGAATCTGGAATATCACCCAGAACCTGATAGTCGTAAAGATCGAAAGATGAGAATATGAACTTGGTAAAATAATACATTTTAACAAAAATATCATAGTTTCCTGATTGAGGAACTATAATATATAAAAACCTCACCCTTTTGAGTGCTTCAAAGGTATTTTTCCTTAGTGCCACATCTGATGTATATATGATAATCATTGTAACTGCCTGCAATGTTTGTTTTGGCGATCAGACTGGTAGAGAGCAGGAGTGTATAAGAAGTGATGCATAAAAACAAGAAAAGAGACTACCTGTAGAGCAGAAAAAATACTAGTCATGTAACGAGAGCAATCATTATGCTCATCATCTAACTCATTAGAGATGTCTCCACTCGTTATATAAAGCAAGAAATCAACAGCATCACTCTTAAATTCCCATGGAAGATCGAAAGATGAGAATATGTGCTTTAACATGCCAATTGCTTGCCACCTTTTCGTCTGGTTATTTTGAAGTTCTGTCTTAACAGCACTCAAATCCAACTTTGCAGCTCGATCAAATTCATCGTACTTTTGTGCCAAAATCACTGCATCAATAAAACAAAAATCTAAGCAAGTCAAAGGAACACTTAACATTTTCTGCAAATGATGATGACAAAGAGGATAAGACCTCAATAAAATTAGGAAATTTTGTGCTTGCAGAGCAAACCTGAAAGTGATGCACCAAGATAGACATGAGATGAAATGCTCGAACAATCTTCTTCGTCCTCTGTGCAATTCACGATTATGAATTAAATTACACATGTTAGAGAGAATATATGCAAAAGGTGGAAACTTTTTCACTCTTGTAATTGTTTAGGTAACAATCATCACGAGGTTGACATAGCAATGAAGTTTACCTCCTATAACAAAGCCAGATAGTGTGTCAATACTAGACCCAGTTACCAAACCAAGACAAGATGTACCACAATAAGGAAGGAAGCTTGCCAATTGCAATGCAAATGAAAGATGATTGGAGCTAACTGAAATCAATGCCTGCACATAACGGGTGTATTTTAAGATCAAACTACAAACATACAAATTAGAAAGAAAAAAAAGGAGCAAGAGATCAAGAGTGGAAGTCAACTAATTCTAAAGACAAGTAACTCTAAAATCACAGTGAAATATTAATATCGGTAACTAAATCGCTTTAATATGTACCAACATAATGAATATCCAACCCAAAAATTTAGTTCAGCATACAAACACCGACCAAGATTTGCAGAACATATAGACCAAGTAAAGCTCGAAGCTTTTCCTTTTCTCCATTTTCCTGCTATAAAGAAACACAGAGAATTATTCCGACTTATTAGAGAAACATATCAAAGAGTCAAAAATAGCCTAAAATGAAGTCAAGTATGACTGACCATATTTGAACAAACTGTTTGTATAGCGTGAGCATTTACAACAACTCTATCAAATAAAGTCTCTAGTTCTGTATCTTGAGAATCTGTTTCTAATGAAATGACCTTTACAACTTTAACAACAACTGGCACCGCAACTTTAATTTGTTCAAAAAGCCGCCTCTGAATGGAAAGAAACACTGAAACAATATAATGACATTCATCGATTAGGCTAAACAATAGTTCATATGGCAGCAAAGAACATTATCAGCAATCCCAAGAAGAACAGGCTGATTACCATATGAAAGTCCACTTATAAGAGGAGAAATATAAGCGGCAGCTTTGATTGTCTTGTTTGGAGAATCTAATGCCTAATCAATTAAAAATTAAAAAACAATTATGATTGTCAACACAACAGAAATTAATAATAAAACTTACCTCACAAATAACCGAAAGCATGTCGCGAGGACTACTTGTTTGTATAAACTGACGAATAACATTATCAGCAACCTCCAAACACTGAGGCGAAATTCCTGCAAATTTCGAAGCTGACTTTGGCAACTCAAATGAAAGGGCGTCGATAATCTCCTGATGAAATAATCCATTAAAATTAAGATTAAACAAATATGCTGATTGCTAATGAATAAGCACATTCAACGATCCTTACATGATCTAGAGAAGGTGAGCACAGAAATTGATAAATCTCGGAGAGAATTTTGAATGCATTAGCCTTAGCATCTTCGTTTTCTGGTTCCGAAAGAGCGGCGTCTGATACGGAATCGAGGAAGTTGACGAGCTCTGACTCTGAAGTTTGAGATTGACTAAAATCTCCACCGCTGATTGACTAAAAGAAAGTGCCGGAAATTAACTCGGACAAAAGAAGCTATGATTTCTCCCCTTAAAGTTAACTTTATAGCATACCTTAGAGCAAGAAGTTAGAATTTGATGGAGTTTTAGAAGGAGAGCGTTAGCAGAGGAGGATCCGTTAAACTCCGCCATCCCTGACGCGTCGCCTTCAAACGCTGCGCTTGACCGTATCGGAGAGGTATCAGTCAAGTGACTCGGTTCGATTGCCACAAAAGAAACACTAACTTTATATATTTTGAAATATATACTATATATATATATATATATATATATACTTCCTTTAACTTAACGGGCTGCGATCGATTGATCTGGAGAAGAGAAGCGACTTTGGTGCAGTAGAGTTGGTTACTGTGCAGTTTCTGCTTTCAGATTTTGAAGAAGAGAATACCGCATCCTTTCATGTGGGCTTTAACTCCCGAAAGAAGACGGGCTTTTGTCAAAACAAGGCAACAAAGTCGGGTATCGCAGGCTTGGGCTTTAGTTTGGATTTCTATACTTTAAGTCTTAATTGTTTACTCAACAAGAAATGCCAGTCTAAGTTTTGGCTACTTCCGATTTCGACCAGCAATAATAGTTTCCAAGATATTTTTTATATGTATCATACAAATGTCCAACACCTAGTTACTTTGTAAAATCATCCTATATATAACACATATGACATGTGTAGATAATGAATGACTTGCATGATATACATCTCAACGTCAACATGGTATAGAAGTTAAGACCTAATAAGAGAAATAAGATTAACACAACTTGATATGAGATGGAAACCTAATACTAAATGGGGAAAAAACCATCACTAAACATAATCGAAGAAATAGTTTCAAACCAAGTGATAAAACTCTCTATGAGTTGGGCTACATAAAAATTCTATTCTAAAATGGATGTAGGTTTAACTAAAGCACAACATAGGTTATCAGCTTGATAACCGGCAATGAGAAACTTTTGAATTTATGGATCAATTTGATATTTTATCTAAAGTTTACGGTCAAAATGATATTTCATCTAAAATTCAAGGTCAAATTAGTATTCTATCTAAAACTCAGAGGTCAAATAAAAATTAACCCCTTTTGCCTAACATGGCACACCATCAAACTAATAGAAATTAAGGGCTCAATGACCAAAATGTAATAATTAGTAACATAAATGATTAAAATTTAATAAAGTAATAATATAAGTGATTGAAACATGTTTTTTTAAAATTTAGTGAATTGAAGTGTATAAATATAAAAGAAAATTGATCAATCTAATAGTTAATCCTTAACGAAAAATGATTTCTTTGTTAAAAGTCGATTTCCTTTTTAATTTACGACAAAGTAATTTTTAAAGTTTATAAACATTTTTAATTTAAAAAATGACGAAACAGATAAACTATAAGAAAAATAAGATATTTATTCATATTATTTTTAACCATATGTGTTCATTATAAAATATTTATTTCATGAAACCACTTAAAATTGATTAAAATTTATCTAAAAGTTTAACATTTTAACGCTTCGATTTTCTTTAACTTTTTTTTAATGACCGTTCAATGAAGTTAGTTTTGAGATATTGTTTGTGTTCTCAAAAGAGTATTTTTTATTATTCGTGTTTTCAAACAAACACCCTAAACTCTTCAAATCTGATAAAATTTCCAAACTCTTAAACCAGAGCATTAGAATGCCAAACCTTTAGCTGAAATTTTATCGATTTTGATTGAGTTCCATGAAAAATAAATTTGAGAAAAAGAAAGAGTAGTGAAATAAAAATATTTTGGTATTAATTTTGTCACGAACGACAATCAGTAACATGCAATGATTGATCGTGAGCGACAACGACTAAATGTCAATGACCATATAGATAACCAAACTAAAGTTCAATTCCTAAAATTTAATTGTTTAAAAATTTAGTGACAAAATTAATATATAAATTAAAATTCTACGTCAATCTCAAATCTCAAAGTATCATGTTATCCTATTGTTAATGATTTAATGATTTAGTGTTTACATTGAACCCAAAATCAAAACTTTACTAAAATTAAAACAATTACAAATTTAACAATAAAAAACAATTACTAAAAATATTTGTGATATTTGATATAGTTTATTCTAAAATTTAATCTAATTCCCATATGGAAACGAAAGAATGGGAAAACGACTGTGCTTGAAAAGGAACCTTCAAACAATGTGAAATTCGTGAGTGAAGGTGATTGAAACACCTTTGCATACAGGTAGGGACTGGAAGGACACAGAACCATAACGAAATCTCGTCAGATTTTTTTATTTCATATCAGTTGATTTATGCAATTATTCTTTTAAAAAAATACAATTGTTCCATACGGAAAAAAGCAACAAAACAAGACATCACTCTTTCTGTACTTTTTCCCAAGTTAAATTCAAGGGAAATTAAGGGTGACAAAAGGTTAATTTAAGGTAAAAACCCCACAAATTATTAAAATTGATGTTAAAAGATATTAAAAATATTATCGAATACGTATAATGTTTGTAACACTATAAACATTACATATATAATCTATGAAAAATAGATATATTTTATGATCAATCATTTACTTCTTAATAAAAACATTTGTAATGAAAAAATAATCACTACTATCGACTATAAATATCTTAATTCAAACTATATATATTCAAAATTCATAAAAATGAAATATATTTTATAATCAATTATTTACCTCTTAATAAGAATATCCGTGATGAAGAAACAATGTCAAGATGTGCAGGAGGGATGGTGACGGCATGAAGCAACGACGTCGTTTCTCACCTTCCAATGCCAAAAATAATAACGGGACAGGTGTCAAACAAAACCCTATTTGAGAAATATCTCTAAGTATGAGTATAGACAATTGGATCAAGAAATTCTAATTATTTTTAAAAATATTATTTTCTAAGGAAAGCAAAGGTGATTATTGAAAGGAAAAGAAAAAAAAACAATGCGTACGAGACAGGCAGCATTGATTCGGATCGTCTGTCCGCCTCGTGTTAAATGTGTGGGTCCACAGGCTTTCTTTTATTGTTTTCCCGAATTTTTTAATTTTATTTTTTTAATTTAGATCGACTCATCTCGTGTCGTACACCAATCAGTATTCAATTCAGTTGATTTTGACAGCGACCCGTCAAACGTATGTTTCGCCTTACGAAGGTTGCTTCTCCAAACCTAGGCTGCGTCGCACCAGATACGTTTTGTATGTTTGTGTTTGGTTGGTTGGTATGAATCTCTTAGAATTGGTGGGAATTAAAATCCAATTTCATCATTTTTTCATGTTTGGTTCAAGTTTTCCAAGAGAATTGAAATCTCTCATGACATCAACTTTCCATCAAATGAGGGAAAGTAAATTTCATCCAAGAATAGATGGAATTCAATTCCCTTGTTGGAGGGAATTGAAATTTGATCATACTATCCTCATCAATTTTTGGTAACTTATTCATATATTGAATAAAAATATTTTTTTATTATTTCGGGTCGGGTTTCTAATTCATATATTCGGGTCGGATTGGGTGAAACTTTATTTTGGTTGGGTCGGGTCGGTTTTTTTTAAATGTGATATTCGGGTTGGGTTAAGTTCGGGTTTAGGGTGAAAAATACCCGACCTGAGAATATATATAATTTTACATTATATATTTAGGAATAATTACAATAATACCCCTCTATATTTAATTTTTTTCAATTAAGTCACTGTTTTTATTGAATAAAAATATTTTTTATTATTTCAGGTCGGGTCGGGTCGGATTTCTAATTCATATATTCGGGTCGGGTGAAACTTTATTTTGTTCGGGTCGTTTTTTTAAGTGTGATATTCGGGTCAGGTCGGGTTTTTTTAAGTGTGATATTCGGGTCGGGTTCGAGGTTAGGGTGAAAAAACCGGACCCGACCCAAAAAAATATATATAATTTTACCTTATATATTTAGGAATGATTACAATAATACCCCTCTCTATATAATTTTTTTCAATTAAGTCAATGTTTTTATTGAATAAAAATAATTTTTTATTATTTTGTGTCGGGTCGGGTCGGGTTTCTAATTCATATATTGAATAAAAATAGTTTTTGGTATAGTTTTTGCTAACTAATTAACATACTCCGATTGGAATGTATCGAAATATTGTTATATCTTTTGGTAACTTATTAACATATTTTGATTACGATGATTTTAACTTATGATGTTTATAAGCATGCTTTTTATAATTTATTGAAATGAATAATCAATCAATAAAATGAAATTTTAATATTTTTTAATTTTTTATAATATATTACTACATGTAAGATGTAAAACAAATTAAAATAAAGCAAAAAAACAAGAAGGGCAATTATGTCATTTTACATTAGTGAAATTAAATTCATCTGACATGTCTGGGAACCAAACAGAATATGAAATTAGATTCTAATTCCATTTCCTGCCAACCAAACAGAATATGGAATTTGATTTCAATTCCTTCACAGATTTCAATTCCCTCAGAAACATTCCAGCGAACCAAACGCCACTTAAGGGTAAAAAATACGTAGGTAGTCCCCTGACTATATGTTTGGAGGAACAATGAATAATAAAACTCTATATATTAACACTAGGAGCAACCATTGATGAAGAAAAGGACTATATGTTCGGAAACGGCAGATTCAAGAGAGCTAATATTAACACTAGGAGCAACCATTGATGAAGAAAAGGAAGATTGGTTCGAATTAGTAATCATATTTGATAATGCATTTGAAACAAGCACACCCAAGCATCTCGATTTGCACATGACTACCCGAGAGTGTAGGGATGAAATTGTTTAAACTTTTAGTAACTTTTAGTATTGTTGATGATAATAAGTTTGTTTCGTCGGTTGTTGGTGGTTTATTTTTTTTTTTAAGTTTAGTATTATTTGTTGGTGTTTCTCTTTAAAAGAGATTTGATCATAAGAAGAAGAAAGAGATACGATATCTAAATTGTAGAAGATTTAACCCTTTATTAATCTTAGTTTAAGGGTACTTAAAATGATCCTTAGTTGTTGGTATCATACATTGGAAAATTATGACTATTTTTAAGTGAATAGACTAAATATATCTAATCGTATCTTAAATGCTGTTCTAATAGTCACATGAATTTATAAAGATCTTATTTGTGTATTGTATTTTACTTGGAGGCCTTTACCCAGAAGATGCGGGCTCCAATGAAACTCTAATAAACGAAGTGTATGTCCGAATATCACCACCGACAGAGAGTTGAAA